CCTCCATAATAAGGACAACTCTGTAATGCAGTATGTGGGGTCCCTAGTTTAATTCCGCAGATTTGCGTTTTCACTGTGCTAAACTTGGTTTCTTTATCTACTTTTTTTATTATTTTGTTCCCGTTTGTTTTTTTAGTTTTCTGACTTAGCTTCACTCTAATTTATACTGTGTTAACATTTTAGCGAGTGGAAATTCGATACTCACGGTAGTAGGCAGTTTGCTAATCATTGTAAATTAGGCATAAAGACAGACATTCTAACGCTGAAATCATATTTTGGCGGTTAAATTCTATATATTAAATGGTAGGCATGTTTCAAGTAATTCCTAGAATGGTTGAACTCTCTTTGGTAAAGAATGTAATAATAGTTAAAAGGTCGGTTTGCAGTAATACTTTGTTACTCGCTTACCATGGTAACAAAGGAACGAATTAAAAATATACTGAAATTAAAAATATTTTCCTGGTGCTGTGGTTTAAACAAGTTTTAGGAATGAAAAATGCAAGTATATAGTAGATTTAGCCAGACCTGAAAGGTTTTTTAAGCGTGTCCTCGCGCAAATCAGATTACCGACTAGAAATTTCTAAACCTCTACAAAGGATAAACATTTCTTGATAACTATTCCACTAGTCTAAGATATTTTGAGTTTTGTACTAATTTTTCTACAATTTTGGGGGATTTTCTTTTTCACAATTTATCCCCAACATGTTGTTATTACTGTTAGAATTAAAAACTGGTCTCCTGAAAATTTCGCTATAAAGACAAAGTGTTCCCCAGCATCTTGTTCTCCAAGAACGGTTATTCCATTTCCTCAAACTTTAGACAGCAACCATCAGAGTAGCTTACACTCACAGAGACAAACTGGATGTAAAACTGTGTCTATTTTCAGTTCTTCATGTAATTATATTTGCTATTCCAAGTTATGAGACCACGTAGGTCTTGCGCGCGTTAGAAAAAAACCCATACGTATAAACAGTCTTTGAAAGTTTGTAGTATATTGTTAATATTGTTACAAAATAAAATGAAGTTTTGACCGTTCGAGAATGGGTCTTTTAAAGAGCTTTGTCATGATAGTTAATTCAAACAATGGGAACCACCACCGAACTGACTGAATTTGAGTGTAACTGCTTAAAATGTGACAAGAAGATCTAAAGAACACAGCAACCACCAAAGGAGGAACGGATAGACAAACTTGAAGAAGATTGGACGGGATTGCATTGTGGCTTTTGAAAACTTGTTAACCTAACAGTTTTTCAAAGCTCATTTTTGTTGTTTGTCAAGTTTGATATACTGCTTGGGATAGATTTTTGTGAGTGGAAATTTCTAAAGTTCGATAATAAAGAAGGACTCGCATTTTAAAGTATAAACTGTCAGACGTCCATGCAAACTAATACCCTACCGTAGTACGTGAGGGGGTGGGGAAGCTTGGTATCCCTCCCTAGTGTTTTCTTTTTAACAGTTTTTACCCTTAATAAATAACCCGTCACGTCGATCGTCTACAAGATAATGTAAATATTATGGCTTGAATAGGCGGCTGGGGGCCAGTGTTGTCATCCAACATGGCGGACTTTTTCAGATTTTTAACTCTTCCACAATATTTTTTTCTCCGTGAAAAATTTTAAGGTCTTATTCAGAAAATGCGCTTTTTAACGGCTTAGTATGTAAAAAATGCTTCATTATGTTACTCTACAAGCACTTCTGACTTACAATATGGCCCTGAAAGCTTACAATGTTACATTTCATTAAATTCAAAATTTTACCCCACACCTTACTTGTCATTCAATTTCACCTACATCTATGGGCCAATTTTCATATATATATATATATGTGTGTCTCAAAGATAAACAAGTAGCTACTAAAGAGCACAAGTGCCCAAATAAAATCCTCTTGATAAAACTGGTGAAATCTTGATTTAAAAAACCGAACTGTACGTCCGAGGATTGCCACAATGAACCAGCTAAAGAAAATGAAACAGAGTTACAATGACATCGCTTTTGTTTTCTCAGTGTGGCATAGCGGTCAGTCATTTTGCAAGAGCAACTTTATAATAGTTACTAGTTGCCACTAACGTGGATAACCTTGTGCGCAACGCCGACAAAAGGCATGACCATTTTCAATGTACGACTTATAGAACAAACAGAATATTGTTTAAAGTGGCTGGGTATTAAGTTCTTTCAAAATTTTTGCATGATCCAACAGAAATTGCCTTACTGTAGATCTTAAATGCGAGGTCATAGCAAGTTGCGTGTTTGTGGTTTCTATTTTAACTTGCAATATTTTCAAGACACTGCATGTTTCCACGATTTCCTCATTCTTTTTGGTCAAGCAATTTTCGAGCTTTAACCTTAGGGTAAGGGAGAAACTGATCGCGTATTCAACATCTTAAATTTGCTGGACATGCAAAGGATTTCTCACAGTCTTTCCTCTCAAAGGTAAGACTGTACCTGAAACACTTACCTGTAATAAATGGAGATCCCTGGGCGTGGCCAAACTGGTATCGAACGGTCAAAGCCTAAGTACATGACCAACGCTTTCAAGAACACAGAAATGGTCTACCTCAAAGCATAAGTTGAGGAAACTGCCAAAAACGTCATAGCAGGAATGTTTCTTGATGGTACATTCGTAAGAAAAGGCCATTACAGAGTTGACTCTACTGGAAACCCCGTCCTTATTTCAAAGTCACTAATTAATGAGTTTCTTAAGATATCAGCATTTCATGATAAAAATTCTTTAAGTTTGAGTTAGTTTTTTAGCAACTTGCACAACATTGTGAGAACATTGAAGACCTATGGTCATGAAGCAGATATGCGATCAGCAGCTAATATGGAACAGATTGTTACAACACTCGCTATTGCTATAAGGTGAAGCCGGCGAAAGTGAGGCGAAAGTTAGAGCTTCAGACGAAGGAAGTTGACGTTAACGAAGCAGATGAGTGGCTGGAAACAGTTGTTCAAGTCCAAGAGATGGCGCTTGGTCGTGCAAGTACTAAAGAGAATCCTGAACAAGAGAAACCTTAAGTCAAATTATACCCCCAAAAAAGTGGTTTCAGAAAAAGAAGGATGCGCGGAATGAAACTCATGCAAATTCACGAGCTAAAAAGAACGTTTTGTGTGTAAAGGAGAAAACGAACTGACATCGTGTAAAATTTAGAAGGAATCAACAGTAAGTCGAAGGGTGTGTGCAACGACACTACCTTCCACAACTTCATGCAGCCATAGTGCCACCACAGTTGAACGTGTCGGCTAAGACATTCCATCCCTAGCAAGGAGTTACAGGATAGACTTCAGCAACTGGGGCACCAAAATATCACTCGAATTGAAGAGTGAAGTCTTCCACACCCTGCAGATGAAAATGGTAATATTGGAGGGGAAAAACGGGATAAAGATCAAAGCAAACGGCTTGGTTCTGGGTCGTCTACCTTAAGGAGGAGATCGCTGATATATTGGGTTTGAACGCTGAGTGTAGACCACAACGGGTTGCTGTTTTCGGAGCGAAGTCAATTGTGAAGGTTAGCAAAAACTGTAATTGTTCGCCTAGAGAGAGTCGATAGGAGCGTTAAAAAAGCACGCATTTCTGTGGACAACCCCGAAAATGTGTGAAGTGACAGCAATTGATTGGTAGTACTGCCCTACTGCAAGAGAAATAGATCATCTTCGCTATCTGGAGATCATAAAGCCTGTTGAACATGGAGAAGTTAAGTTACTGATTGGAAATTATTATCATGAGGAACTCCTTCTACCCCTTAAACATTACATAATAAATTAAAGGAGGAATTTTTGCAGGCTTGTCAGGACCTTAATCCTTCCCTAATAATAAAGCATACAAAACAAAAACTAGGTTATAAGCATAGGGTGGCTGATAAACATATATACAAGGTAATATAACAAATGAACTAATAACAAGATCTTTCAAGATAAAGGACATGTACAATAACTATTAAAAACCGTAATTCCATGGTAATAAAAGGATCTCTTGGCCACTTCTGTTCTTATAGCAGGTAGATGCAAGAGATTGCTCACGCGGGTTGAACGAACACAAAAGTCCTTGTGAAAGACGAAGCAGTTCTTAAAATACTGAGGGCACCGACCATGTATACATTTCCTTACAAGCTTTAGGATGTGTTCATCGCGACTGGAACTAAGACTTGGCCACTTAAAGTGGCCATCGCAGTGTCACTACTAGATGTTTTAATTACAAGTCTTCCAAAGCGTTTCTGCAGCGTTTCTAGAGTTCCACTATTTACCTCCCAACAACACCCCCACTGCTAATATTATTAGACGAGGAGTAACACACATATTCTTATTGATTTGTGTGTCTCTACTGAACCCAAGTTGTGGTCACTGAACTGTTTGTTTTTACTGAACTATACACACAAAAAGCAAGACTAATTTGAATTCTGCAGAAGAGTGCGACTCGAGGACCACACGTGAAGGTCCTGACAATTAATTATCACTGGTTCATTGCACCTGAGTTCCTGTATGAGCATATAGATGACTGGCCTTAAAGAAAATGTATGGTGTATAAGGAGCGTTCAGAATAGTGTCTAGCTCAGATAGTCACCCTGAAGATGATCTTTATGTTAGCGGTTTCACTGCCATTGGTTGATACACTAATGTACGCTAGTTGGAACCGACTTTAAAACAGTTAAAGAGAACTCTGGGTGAAACAAGCACAACAGTACGTGGGAAAGATTCCCTGAAGATATGAAAAATTTGATTGGAGGTAAAAAAAAGTCAGATGGCAGAGCCACTTGAAACCTCTGACTCTGTCTTTGTTCACCTGTTGTTAAATTGTATTGAGAATCACTCGACCAATAAATGGATTTGCACTAAATTTGTTGATAGCAAATAAATCGCAAAAATGCCCAACACAGGAGTAATTTGGCGGTTGGAATTTTTTGTTTTCATGCTCAGGAATAGTAAAAAAATATTCCAGGGGGCAAATACAACGGCTGTTCTCGTATACTGCAAATCAGTCCACTTGAGGAGACCACTATCTTCACTATGTTATTTTTTTCTATTGCAGATGTCAAGGCAAGGAATAATTTTGCTTGTATTAATTTTGTTGTCAGTGTGGACAGTTACAGGCAAGTAAAATTATGATTCGTTGGTATTGTCGTCCTTTACGTTTTTTTCTTTGCTCTGTTATGTATTAACAAATTAACCAGCTAGAAGTGTAGCACAAAACAATTCAAAAGCAAAGTTTGGGCAAACACATTTTTAGTTTAAATGATAATAAATGTGCAAGAATTAATTTTTGGTTGACAAGTAAATGTTGGGGGTAACTTGAAACGTTCTAAGGCGATAGAAATACTGGAATTGTTGTTATAATTATATATAAAAATATTACTCCATATCTGCTTATTTTCTTGTAGCTTGTAGATTAGACGCTGCTGACTGCTATAATCCGTATCGGAAATCTACCGACTGATAACCCTGGACATAAATCGTATTAATGCATCCTTCCATTTTTTTAAACAGGTTATTATTTTTAATGAATGAAAGAGCAGGCCACTGAGATAAAAAAAGGGGTCATTATAACGAATAATAACCTACTCTTCGATTTCAGTGGCCACAATAATGACCTGCTGGTTCTAAAACAATTGAAAGGTGCATTCAATAGGAAAATGACCTCGCTCATCAGCCTTCTGCTGCTGCTTTGTAAGAAGGCCTCGGGTCAAGCATTATCCTGTATATATTACATTGCATCTTTACGTAATGTATTACTAACCTTTTTTACTGTTTTCTTCAAAATTTGTAAGATGATCTAGGACGGCTTACCCTGTCCATTCATAAAGCTCCGTCACTAAATCTCAAGGCTTTCTTTAATTGCATAACTTTCAGAGCCTCGCCTTAAACCAAACAAGCTTCTTGATTAAGCACTATATTTTTTCATCAAAAATGTCCTTTATTAAAAAAATGAGTCTTTTATCAGAGTCTGTTAATTTCCCGTATTCTGAAAACGTAAAACCGACAAAAATTTGCATTCAACTACGATGGATCCATGTTTTGTGTCATTCAGCTCAGAGGTTGCATTTGATTGACTCTTTGCATGTGATCGAGTTTTTGTCTCTCAACCAGGGGGGGTGGGGAAGGTAACTCTATTGTTTTCCATCTACGCTTCTTGACCCACTCCGCCCCCCAGTATGACGTCACATAGTAACGGGCAAGTGCCTCGGGTCGCTTGTGCAAATTAGCAAGGGATACGACAGTTATTTGGACGGGCGTGGTCGAGGAAAAGCTAAGAAGCTAGCAAATATCGTTATATATCGCTTATTTGATCGAATGTGTCTGAGCTTTGGTGTTGCTGTAATCTGCTTGTGTAAACCGTTTTGATATTTTGTGTCCGTGATTGTATAATTTTGTTAATTTGTTTTGCGGGCCGTGTTGCGGGATCGCCATCTATTTCACGGGACCGGCAAGGTCATCAAAAGTTAAATCTTTATTTTCTCTAAAATAGACAAGGTCTAGTCTCCAGAATAGGAGGTTCCATTCACAGATCACACATGTTTATATCTCATCTATTCTTTTGCTAATGAAACAGGCCTAACTTCATATCATTCCTTTCGAGTGTGGGCCTCTGTTGATATCCTAATTCTCCACCAAAAAAATTCAGTAAAGCTAGTTCGATCGCTTATCTACATGGAGTCGGCCCGTAGAACCGGAAATAATGCGAAATAGCTTTGAAATACGTGCTTAAGCTAATTTTCCTCAAATGTATATTTGAATTCATGATAAATACAGCTCCACCAGCTTCAAATAGCGTCTATGGCAGAGACTCAGAATTGTTTTGATATGACAAAATTAATTTTTTAAATCATGTGTGTCATGTGGTGCAGTGGTCATAGACGAGGAGTTGCTTGCCCGTGTAAACCGGGTTCGACTCCCAGCGACGCTGTTTTCTGTTTCTTTGTACCGTTCTTTTTTTTCTTTTTTCTTTTTGGTCTTTTTATTTTAACACTATTTTTCCCTTTGGCCTTTTTTTCTTTATTCTTACTGCTGACCGTGCTGGTCATGCACTTGGATCAATTAAATGACATCAATGTCAATGGCGTTAACCTTTGGAAGTACGTCGATGACACATCGATGGCCGAGACAGTCCACAAGGGCCAACCAAGTGCAATCCAATTTGCTGTAGACGACCTAGTTAGGCAAGCCGAAATAGATAAGTTCCAATTGAATGAGACCAAGTGTAAAGAGTTGCAGATAAGTTTCTCAAGGTCTGTAGATCCTTTCGAAGCAGTTACTATTAACAACAAACCAATTGAGGTTGTAACTAGCGCAAAACTTCTTGGTCTCACAATTTCAAACAATCTAAAGTGGAACGCTCACATAGAGAATGTTATCAAAAAAGGAGCCTCTAGGCTATATCTTTTAAGGCAGCTTAAGCGTGCAAAAGGAGATCCTGCGCAGCTACTTTGTTTCTATACTACGTGTATCCGGCCCATGTCTGAATATGCCTGCCAAGTTTTCCACAATGGTCTGCCTGAGTATCTCTCTGAAGAGCTAGAGAAAATTCAGCGCCGTGCACTTAGAATTATTTTCCCAGATTTAGGCTATCAAGAGGCTCTAAAAGAGTGCAATATTGCCACCCTCCACCAACGGCGCCAATGGCTGACAGAGCGCCTATTCAATGAGATTAAGGACAACAGCCTCCACAAATTACATGGCCTTTTGCCGCCACGTAATCTTAGTATTGTAGCCTTAAGGAGAAAGCGCGCTTTTAACGTACCTCCTTGTAGAACAAATAGACTAATGAATAGTTTTATCATGCATAACGCGGCTATTTTCTAATGGTTTTATTGTAAATTCGCGGCTATTTTCTTAAATTTCATGACGTAGTATTTTGTTCCTTTGTTTTATTTTTTTACTGTTATTTATTTATAATAGTTAGTCTTAGTATTCAACGCATTTTACAGTCCGTAATCCAGCCCTTGGGCTGCAATGGATTTTTAATAAAGCTATCTATCTATCTATCTATCTATCTATCTATCTATCTATCTATCTATCTATATTTTAAGCTTAAGTCCGGAGTTTTATTTGGAAAAGGGATTTTTAAAGCTCTTGACCTGCATATTGGCCAAGCTTACGACCAGAAAAAAACCATAAGCTGCCAATAACTGTGCCGTCTGAAACAGCTAAATTTTTTCAATGTTAGGTGACATCTTGACAAACAACACACAGTACACCACAAACTGTACTAATTTACACCCAACACGTACCCACCAGTGACCCACTGGCAAAAGTTAAACTTGCCTTTTGCACATCGTCTTAATCATCAGTATTATTACCCTAAAATCTCCGCTGGGTTTGCCCCCAAAAAAGAATTAAACGAAACCTTTTATTGGTTTTCGGGATTTAATTACAGAATTACAGGTGTATGCCCAATACAGTATTAAAATGCGGTAAAGCAACAAGATTCAATGCTCACAGTCTCTTACAAATACCTGTCATTTAGCTTCGTCTTTCAACGCTACAGCCAAGCAGACTTTGAGAGGAATGATATGGGGTTCCACTGTCTCTGAAGAGTTGAAAATACGCACAATGTAAAGTATAATACATCCTTTGATGAACCTCCTATTTGTGTGTCTAAACTCCTCAATCTTGCTGTGTACTGGCCCTCAAAAGTGTGACCGGTCGGTATGATTGCCCGTAAAATTTGCTCGACGATAAAAAGGAATCTTTAAAATTCATTACACCACTGGACATTTCATTCCAAAAAATTACTTAAGTCTAGTTTTCTATGACCATAGAAACCTTAAAATCTCCAAATCCAAGAAATCGGAACAGTATTTCCGTGATAAAATCGAAATTTTTATCCTTCTCTTCGATGGACACTTTGCTCGCCATTTTGAAAGTCACTGACGCAAGACGCGTGACGTCATACTGGCAGGTGCACTGTACCACAGATTTCCTTGGAGACACCTCCCCCCCTGCTCTCAACCAATCTCCTTACCAATGGCGGTGTGTACGGCTACTTTTTATAGAACTGACACTTAGACAAACAAATGAGTCCTAAGTCATTGGAGTATAATATTTGTCTGACTCTTCCAAAAATGAAACAAGTGAAACAAACATTGCAAACATCGTTTGTCTCTCTGTAAGAGACCCAGTGAAACCCTGTCCAGTGGCTCAATTCAGTCTATCCGGTGATAATTTATCCTCCCTGATACCTGACGAATAGTTCGTTTCTACCCGAATAATTTCCCCCCCCCCCCCCCCCCCCCCCCCTTATTAATTTTTGCCGTGTTCATTCAAAAATAAAAAATTGTAATAAATAATTCGAAACTACTTGTGTATCTTTTTAAAGAGCCCAGTGGACCCCTTACCGTTGGTATAATCCACGTTATCCGGTGGAAATTTACCTCCCTAGATCCCTGCAGAATTTTTTTTTCGTACCCAATTACTTGCCCCCCCCCCCCCCCCCCCACCACTTTCTATCGTTGCTTCTACAAAATCAGTGTATTTCTTCATTCATATTTGTTTAAAAGAAGCAAAAATCTAAAACATAGTTACCATTGACAAAAAAAAAGGGTTTTCAAAGGTTTCATACCGGTAAAGATGTAGGGCTGTCACCCCTTTTAGGTTTTATGAGTGATACAAAACTAAGAAGAAAAACGCAGTGGAAAATAAACCAACCCGGTGACATTTTCTCTGGTAAACCGGTGAAATATAGATTTTACTGCATGGGTATGTTAAAAAGGGGTGTTCATCAGATCATTAGCCGATATAATAGCGATCATAATAATCCGGCTTCTCAGCAGTGCTATGGAACCGAAGAGGGTTCTTATTAGTTATAACGTGTTAAGCGTTAAAAGTTAGCCTGTCAAGAGAGTAAAGTTTGTGAGTTTTTGTTTTAAACATTGATTTTCGCACTTCTATTTGCAGTTGTCAACTCTGAAGCATGTTCCTTTGCTGTTAACGGATCCAGTGGGTTCATCAGCTTTAGCAGTGAAACCAATAAATTCTGGCATTGTACGTGGATCATCACAGCACCATCCAACCACACTGTCAAACTGATATTTACGACGTTTCGTCTACCTAGATATTATTCCTTGGTTCAAGTCTATGATGGAAAAAGGACATATGATCCCGTACTAGGAGTTTTTACTGGAACAAGACAACCCTTCCTCATACAAACAAGTGGTCGATTTATGATGCTGACTTTAAACAGCTGGTGTTGGTCGACCCTTTGTATCTTTAAAGGAGCATATTACACGACAGAAGGTAAGCGATAGTAAGTTATCAAAACGACAAAATAAGAACTCAATAAGAAAGCTAATTAGCTCATCATTATAATGAATTTGACTAATGGCCCGGCTCACGGGTCGCGGGTCGCGGATTATATGTCGCGGGTGCGGGTCGAAAGTCGCGGGTGGAAAATTTTGCGTAAAATTCAAGTTAGAGTTCGAGGTAAATGACTAAAAATGACTGATAATATGTAGGTAATAACTCCTTTAAGCCACTAAAAAGAATCCTCCTTTTGAGGGAGGGTCTAGGTAATTGATAAAAAATTTCACAACTCAAGCCCCTCGGTTGCAACCAACAGCCAATTCACAGGTTACGAATGTCAGAGTCAATATTATCGTCTAAAGGAAAGAGCTAAAAGAAAAATCGGGCCGAATTATGTTTCTTTCTTATCGTATATCGGGCCCCGACGAATAGTTACCTACTGCTCTATTTCAGTGACCCAGGTAAGAAGATGCTGGGTAAGTTTATACAGATGAATTCACCTGTCAAAACTTTGACCAGTCTGAGATTGCATTGGTTCTAGAGCGTGAACAAACGCGTGACCAAGCTAAAAGCACATCTTTCAAACTTTATTTGTGAAAGTTTTTTTTTGTCCCTAGTTAAACAAACAGAATCCAAGATCTTTATTGGAATATTCTCCTTTATAGCAATGGAGGCTCCACCACACGTGTATGCTGAGGCTCAGCTAAAAACTCTTGGGTTTCGTTGAGCGACGTGTTCTACAATACAAAGAGTATTCGCTTATATTTTTGAAGTATTTTTGAAGTAGGTTAAAGCAACTCTAATGTTGCTTGCAACCTGATGTAACTTGAAATCGGAAATTGACTTTTTCAGAAAAGCCAAGGATCAGGGTACCGTTGGCGGAGTGGCGAACTGTACCAAATCATTATATCTGGTTTCTGCTGGAAGGTACCCCACCAATTAACTTGACCCTAGTGAATACATCAACATCTTCGGAGGGCGGTTTCATAACAAAAGGATTTCAAATAAATCGGACGGGTACCTACAAGTACACTCTACTGGCAGAAAACAATGAAGGAAATGACTCAAAAACGGTTGACGTAACCGTTCTGGGTAAGAATTCAATGCTGTTAAATTTCATTCAATGTAGATGAGACATTTTGCAATTAACAACCATAGTAGTTCGCACAAACAGTTGTGTTAAATTTTGTCCTTATTTTATCTGTTGATGATTCAGTTCATTTGGGTGAAAAATGAATGTACAAAGTTTTTGACTACTTGCTCTTGTTTCGCCATTGTTTTGAACACGGGTAATTTGAGTCCATTTAGGTTTGTAAACAATACGAATTTACAAAAATATAATGTTGGAAATTTGGTCTCACCCTTACTCAATAAGTAAAAATGAAGATTCGTTATTAATACTGTATTAATACATATATAGAAGGGTACCGCTTTCTTGAAAAATCTCCCCATCAACTGCCTTATTTTTACGGGATTCATTTTACAGATTGCAATCATTGGTGTCGCAGTACAGGTTCGATAACTTATGGTCAAGTTACCAACGAACACAACTGTAGTGAGAGCAACATAACACATGACTGGAATTGCATTCCAACTACAACCACTAAATTGTAAGTGTATTTCCTTTTTAACCTTGCATTTATTGGTGTAATGTTTTCTCATTTTTTCAGTATGGACTCCGGTGTTTCGAAATTTTTAAAACTGTTTTCTTTTAAGATTTTATCGTCTTTCATTTATTTTAAAAATTGCCATTGTTTTATGCCAATTTCACACACAAGCTACAAAATGCTCCAAAATCCCAACCCTGAAAGTAAGACAATCTTTTTGCAGCCGCAATGTACCTGTTTTATTTTAACGTGACAAGAGCGCCAGGCCACTTTCTAGTAATAAGCGCTTTAAAGGCTGACGATCAAGTGTCTCCATAACATTGCTCCAGGTCTTTTTAAGAGTTATTTTATTAGGTCTTCACATATTCATTCGACTAGGCGTAATGGTTTAGATATTTTAATTCCTAAAGTCTGTACAGAAACTGCCAAGAAAGGAACATTTTATACTGGAGCCCAGGCTTTTAATAACTTGCCACCCCATCTGAAGGAAGTTGGCTCCATAGTGATTTTTAAAACACTTCTTAATGACTTTATTTTTCAGAGTTCTTGTAAATATTTTGAAGTTTTTAGAGTCTTAATTTACGTAGTTATATAATTCTTAGTTTTTATCCATCAACATTGTACTTAGTTTTTACATTTTTCTGATAGTTGATCTGTTGCAGTTATTATTCCTGGTTAAATATGTTGTTGTTATTATTATTGTTATTATTATTATTATTATTATTATTATTATTATCATTATTATTATTATTATTATTAAGCAGTGATCGCGGCCGTGTTAACATGGCCGCGAAGGGAATCGGGAAGGGAACTCGGCGCAAAATGAATAGCAAGATTCAATGGACAGATAAAATGAACGATGATTTATTGGAATGCAAACAGAAAGCTCTGGATTTGGCTAAGTCAAGCAACCCACCGCGACTCGAGTCGGGAAGAAAAAAAAGGCTACATGGCTGTGATGAAAGATCTATGGGAAACAATGGGATATTACGATCTCGGTTTGTCAAGTCAGAATTTTCGCGACCAAGCTCAGAGGCTCGAGAAGATGCAAGATAGGAAAGGGGAGGTAGTACGCAACGATATTGGACTTGAAAGCACAGGGAATAGAATGGATAGATCGGAAAGTTTACTAAATAATAACAGCCATGATTTAGAGGCAGAAGAAGATTTGCATATGGAAGACGTGACTGTAAAGTCTAACTCCGTTCCCAAGAGACCAGTTGCAATTAACTCCTTTGTCAAAGAAGAGCTCAGATCAACAACAGTGAGCGCACACTTGGACAGTGGTATGAAAACATCCAAAATCAGTCCGAACCTACCGCAATTCGATGTGCGCCCCTCGGAAATTATACAAAAACCCTCAGCAACATCCAAGAGCAAAGAGCATAGTGTGGCGATAGAGCGGAGATTAGCTCTCTGGAGACAGGGAGATTTGAATATGCTAATGAAGGAAATACGATTCATTCAAGATAGGTTTGTCAACTCCAAAAGGGCCAGATCGGTTGAAGACATTTCGAGAACGTTTGCAAAGTTAGTCTTTCCAGGGAAACTTACGGCAGCGATCAAATTGCTGGATAAAGAGAACTCGTCGGGACTGTTGAATCTGTCTGACGAAGTATTAGCCCAGTTGAAAGAGAAACACCCTGTTCCCGCTGAAATCGAACAGGAGTGTCTTCTGCATGGTCCTGTAGACCTCGTTCCACCCGGAATATTTGATCTAATCAATGAGCAGCTAATCGTCGATTCCGCCCTGAAAACAAAAGGTTCTGCGGGCCCTTCAGGGATGGATGCCGAACTGTACCGTCGAATTCTCTGCTCAAAGAACTTTGCGGCAGAGGGGAAAACACTAAGGGAAGAGATCGCTACTCTGACGAGAATCCTGCTTACGTACAATTACCACCCCTCCCTACTTGAAGGCTACACTGCGTCTAAATTGATACCGCTGGACAAAAAACCAGGAGTTAGACCAATTGGTGTAGGAGAGGTCTTTCGCCGCATAATCGGCAAAACCATCTCGGCAATGTTTAAGGAGGAGATAAAGGAGGCCGCTGGACCACTGCAAGTCTGTCAGGTCACAGCGCTGGATCAGAAGCAGCCATACATGCAATGAATCAGGTGTTTAATGAGGAAGGGGCGGACGGAATTCTATTAACTGACGCGACCAACGCGTTCCATCAGATGAACAGGGCGGTGGCTATGCATAATATCAGGATCACTTGTAAGGAAATCGCCCTATATATCATTAACACGTATAGAAGCCCCTCTAGGCTGCTCATTAGTGGTGGAGGCGAGATCTCTTCCCAAGAGGGTACTACCCAGGGTGACCCGTTAGCAATGCCTTGGTATGCAATTAACACCGCTCACATGATCACTAGTCTCAGGAGATATGTCCAGGATCGATCTTGTTAGCAAAAATTTGCTAGCAAAGGTTTTTCGCAATTGTCGAAAAAGAAATTATTGAGAACAAATTATGTTAGAAAATCACTAACAAATATCGGAAAAATCGCAAGAATAACAAATGTAACAAGAATCAAGACTTAGAAAGCAAAGAGGCCAAGAAGGGCCCCGAAATGTCCGCAAAAATCGCAAATATAGCAAGGAATTTTCTTGCTAGCTAAAAACACCCATGACAAATATCGCAAAATTGCAAGAATAACAAATCTAACAAGAATCAAGACTTAGAAAAAGAAAAAGCCAACAAGGGCGATATTTGCGGACATTTCAGGGCCCTTCTTGGCTTCTTCTGTTTCCAAGTCTTGATTCTTGTTAGATTTGTTATTTTT